CATGATTGATCATGGTGATGTTCTTTATATGCATACCTCTGCTGCATCCCTTAAGGCTATAGACACAGTCTATCATGGTGTCTTGCGTTTTATTTTGAATACCAAATCTCTCACCCATCATTGTTTCTTATATGAGGGGTCTGGTCTGATATCACTAAACTATCGCAGATGGCTCCATTGGCATATTTTTATCTACAAAGCCATCTTAGGGCTACTCCCTGGCTATTTGAACCGCCTCCTCAATTGTTCTACTAGTGGGTACAGCCTGCGCTCTCAGGACTTTTTGTTGTTCTCGGTCCCTCGCGCCTTCACTGAATTTGGGAAGACCGCTTTTAGTTACTATGCCCCTTGGTCCTGGAATCAGCTCCAGAAAATGCTAAAATTGGCTGACCTTGTTTCCTTGGGTGATTTTAAATGTTTGTTACAGTCTGTAAAAACAGAGCTCTGCAACTGCTTTCTTTGAATTTGATGTGTACTGTATGTACTTTATGTATCTATGTACTGCTGTGTTTATGTTTTTTGTTGTTGTATTGTTGTAACATTGGTTTGCTGCCTTCTTGGCCAGGGCTCCCTTGTAAAAGAGATGTCAATCTCAATGGGACTCACCTGGTTAAATAAAGGATAAATAAAAAAAAAAAATAAAATTTTTTGGGATGACCCCATGTAAACCTGGAACCTGATAGGACGGTTAAATAGTGATGCCCCCCAATAAATGCAATTCGGTGAATGGATAGACATCCTGTCGACTGTCTTCCTCGCACCCAGGTAGAAAGGATTAAGTCCCGTCTGTGTTTCTATGTATGGGAGGTTAAGTCATAACATTTTATATCCAATCTTAGCACCAGTATTTACGGTTCACTGGAATGTGGCACCTTACAAAATCAGCAACCGGACGATATTGCTTGCTCGGTGCCGTGTTTTCAATAGAGATGAAGATATTTTAAAACTGTGGAAAAAAAAGGATATATGGAGGCAACAGATGGCACATGGAAAAACTATTTGGAGCAATCTTTTAACAGATGGTTTGCCTTGATGAAAGTTAAAAGAGGCAAATACTTGTAGAAAATCAAAGCATTAAAGAATTTTGGGTGTTGGTACAGAAAGTGAGAGACAGACTTCCTCTCTCCAATTGTATTTCTAGTGTTCCCTCCACAAACACAGCTCTGGTAACTTTCACAGAGTAAGGAATTGAATATTTAACAGCCCAGATAGAGCACTGTCTACGCACGGATACAGCCTGCATACAGCCTGCATACAGTGCGGAGCTACGAGGCAGAGAGGAAGGAAGGAAGAAAGTATGGTCATGCTTTATATTGGTGTTTTCACACCAATTTAAGTTGAATTGAATTAGAGAGAGACAGAGAGAAGGGATGGAAGGACAGGAGGCTTCACCTGTCAAACCTCTCTCCTCTTTATCACAGCACCGCAGCTGTGTGCAGACAGACAACCTCGCTTCAAACAAACCCCTCCTTTTGATAGCATGCTAACCTGGAGGCATACGATTGGAATGAGTCCCAATATCAGACTCCTCCAGCTCACTTTATATTCATCCACACACTGCCTTATCAAGCCAAAGCCTCATGCAGACTCCAACTCCAGGGGAGGGTCTTGGCATGTCGGTCGGATCTGTTAAAACTTTGTCAAGGATTTCAGCTTGATAGCTTCTGTGAGGGCCTGTTGTCCTCACATTCCCCCATTGTTGCCTGTAGGGCCTTGTGTATTTCAATCTGTTATGATAAGTCCTGATGCTGGATGGTTGTGCGTGTGCGCCGCGTAAGCTACTCTTGAAACGTCTACAGTTGGCAGATATGAATATTTTAATGAGCCAACAAAAGCAGACACAAGTCTCCTCTACGCAAATCCTGAGTACAATCAACACTAATAAAACTAAATGCTCGTTGAGGAGGAAGACAATTTGTCAGTCAGTGTTAAATGGATTTCATTCTGCTCCCCTGGAGTTATCATTAATGTTAATGCCGAGCTGTTTCACAAATTATACAGCCTGATCCATGAACCAGAACGGTATAATCTGTTTTTGGGGGGCTCTGCACTGGAGGGCTTCGAGCTAAAAACAGAAATGGGCTCAACTATATTACTGATTGACACACAGTGTTTCAGTAATGCCCATCAATTAGTTTTGGCTATCTATAAACAGCTCAGACCTAATTAGCCGCTGGCCAACAAATGGGCTCATTAGGGGACATTAAACTCTAATATGAAGGTTGTTATTGACTTAATCGCAGGAGAAACCCAATTAGTGGCCAAATTTGGAAAATGACTCTGAGGTAGTGAGACGATCTGATTGGCGAAGGGGTGGGGGGGAGGGGAGTGTGGCAACCTGGAATGACTTTGCCTGTGGGTGAGTGGTGGCATTGAGAGAAAGAGGGAGAGAGAGAGAGATTCAGCCAGAGATGTAGCGAGAGGTAAGGGAATGTGTATCGGGAGTAACACAAAGGGAGTCTGTGTGAGTGTGTGTATGTGTGGGTGTGGAGAGAGAAAACAACACTTACAGAGCAGCAGGGAAGCAGGAAGCCGGCGGCAAGAAAAAGTATCAGGAGGTGGATGAGGAAAGCAAGAGATGAAGAAGGTGTGAGAATAAAGACGAGAGGAGAAAAAAAATCAGGAGATACAGCGTAATAGAAAGAGACAGCAAATGAATTTGAATAAAATCTTATGTTGCAGGGTATTACGTGCAAGCTGTAGGGTATTACTGAATGTAAATATAGTGTAACTTTGCCAACAAGAGTAGCTGAGTCCACTGTCAGCGAAAGCTTTGCTAATATATCACTAACAAGAGTGTGAAATGAGGGTGAGAGAGCAGCATTACAGCTCATGAGAGGTTCAGGATGACATGTCCTTGTGATGTCAGGCTGCCATCGAGGTGGCTGCCAAATGCCAAGGCCCCTCAAAGGCTGGCTCACTCTCTGGTGTGAGTCTCTTGACATTCATCTTACATTTAATAACCAGCATACCGATGTGAAGGACATCTTTGTTTATGAGCGAGTGTGTGAGTCAGAAAGCAACAGAGAGAAGGAAAAACAGGAGGGAGGACACATCAAGGGACAATGTGCTAATGATTTCCGCAAATGTTTCTGCTGGCCCATTAAGAAGTTGACTTTAGCAGCGAATACTCAGGGCAAAACACATCAAAACAACACCACACACACAAATGCAGTCCTGTGTGACCAGTCATATTAAAACACATGCACAAAGTTCCACATTCTTGCATACTTGCAGAAATGTGCCCCCACTGGTGTTGAGTCTCCTTCATGCTCCTCCAAATGCATTAATTGAATAATCATTCAATTATGTGACCAATGTGCCTCGTTCCACTGACATTAGTTAGCAAAGCTGATGTCTGGCCTGGTGGCGCTGCAGGGACATCAGATAGGCATCAACAATTGAATCAGAGGGAGATAGAAAGGGTAGTGTGTGTGCTTGTGTGTGTGTGTAAGTGTGTGTGTGTCTGTCAATCTATAAGGCCCAGGCTGAGAATCAAATGAGGAACACATATTGATTTGGGATTTCAGAGGCAGGGGCCATTAACAATTTGAGTGAGAAACGCCCGAAGCATCAACAATTACCTTCTTAATTAAGCTCGACAAAATGGTGTACAGATCACAATGGGTTACTCAGCAAATAGCAAAACACGAGAGTGATCATAAATACGGCAAATATACCATTAGCATCACATTATTGTAATGGAAAAACACAGGTATGTGACTATCAAAAAATAACATCAATCCCGAGGCTATTTAAGTAAATGTAAACAGCTGGTGGCTTACAATGATGTGTGTGTTAATGGAAAATTTCTTAAAACACAGCCAATAAAAGTAATTACGGACTCATAATACTGTAATGAGAGCAATAATAATTTATCAATTAAATGTAATGATTTACATTTAACAGTAAAACACACACAAGAAACAGCACTACACATTTAACAAGATGCCGGCCAGCAGTTGTTTCTGACCAAATGCGCTCAACCATAAAGCTGGAAAAGGCTGGATTTACTTTCTGCGGTGAACCTACTCTCGAGGCAGTCCATTATCACATCTGGTCTCCAAACAACAGGCAGTGGCATTTCTAAATGACAGCCTCAAACAAGGTCAAGTCCAGCTGAGCAATGGGCAATCTTCTCTCACTTATACGTAATTAGTAGACGTTGGTTAACTGTGAGCACATCCCTCAGACTGTGTCCCTGTCTTTAGGCAAAGTATAATCTAAACTGTTTCTTGTACAATCTTAGATGTCACTCTGAATGATGGAATTATTGTCAATTGTGTTTAAAGGATGGTTGATTAGAGAGAGCAGATAGACCAGGGGCGGAGTGTCTGACTCTGTGAGGCTTTGTTTAGGCATGGAGGTGCATTGAGCTACATGCAGCAGAGTATAGCCAAGACTGATGAGTCATTGAGTCAATGTCATTAGTTTTGCAGGTATTAAAAAATCACAGTATTGGACAAACTGAATTCCTGAACTAATGATGGCGTTCAATGAAAAGTCATGGGGATCACCAGAGTTATATCATCCTGTGGGGAGCATAAATGTCTCCACCAAAATTCATTGTAACCTGGCTACTGAGACATTTCACTCTGAATAAACATGGTCAACCTCCTAGTGATGCTAGTGGTGATCAAATACCAACATTCTTTCACGGCCAAAGGCACAGTTTGGCATTTCATTCACCTAACTCTAATTAAAACTCATCGACAGCAATAATTCAATCAGGAGAAACAGAAGAAGTAAAGTCAATATTTAATGCAAAATATAAGTGTGCAGATTAAAAGCAGATTTGTGCTGATTAAGATTTAACAGAAGTTTCTGGATCTTGGACACCAGAGGGAGGAATTTTTCGATTGAGGCACATCTAAACGNTACTTCAACATGATCACAGATATGGTCAAAGCTTTAATCTCCCTCCTCTGTCTGGTTACAAAGCATGTCATGAAATCTGTTTTAAAATAATTCCCCTTATGATTATTGTGTCAATAACTCACCGATGCAGGCTTTGGCTTTTCCACCTCCTTGCTGGTTTTTCCCAGTGCAGCAGCCAGAGCTGAATCCAGCTCCCAGCTGCCAGACGCCTTCTGGAGGGAGATCAACTGCAGCAAAGGGTCTCTGGGTGGCTGCTTGGGTGAAATTTTGACTGAGCACTCTTCTGCAAAGATAACATATTCTTGTTGGACAGTTGCACTGGTGACATTTTGAGCATTTGTTTACATCTTTGCCTTTTTGATGCTGATATGTAAAAACACTGCAGTCAAGAATATTTGAGTGAATTGCTTCGCTCAAACGTGAGTCAGAAAGTGTCATGCTATGCTGGAAAAATGTCTTTTCAAATTATATTGTTGCTTCCAATGTGAAATTCAACTGTTTTGGCCTTTTTTGATTATTATTGAAAATGAAACTTTACACATCCTTGTTTGTTTTCTCGTATAAGCATAAGTATGGTCACAGTGTTGATAAAAAGACAGAGTTAATTATCTTCATAATTATCAAAGAACCAGATGGGAGGAAAAGTTCTGTGCTAACATGCACACAATGAGAAAATGAGAAAACATGCTGATGTTTAGCAAATTTCATTTTTAGTATTTTCAGCATCTCGGTGTAGCATTTTAGTATGCTAACCTTTGCTAATTAGCCATAAACCATAGCCAGAGATGTCTTACGTGGTGTCGGCATGGCAGCTTGCTTCTTCTTCTTACCAGAGAAAAATGATCGACTGCCACTCTTAGATTTGCTCCTACACTCTGTTAAGAGAGCAGAGTTATCACAGCCTGATATAGCTTCAGCCGTTGTGTTACAGAACTCCTCACTGACCAAAAAACATGATGATGATGATGATGATGATGATGATTATAAAAATACACACAAAAGCCACATTTTGAAGAAATACATTCCATAGCACACAGCCCCTGCCACCCCAGTGGTAGAATCCTATTATTACTGAACCCATCCTCCTGTGCTGAGCCACCTGCTAATTCACCATGCTCACTCTCACCAAAAGCAACAAGCTCCCGAAAGTCACCAACATATCTTCGAAAACCCAACCCATACACTACACCCTCCTTCCCTCTGTTCACAGATACAGACAATTACTCTGCAGAAAAACTCTCTTTGGGAGGCGTTTTGTGCCCTCAGCCATGACTGTCTTAAATACCCTGGGCACACTGTAACAGACCTGTGTTGTGTTGTTGTGATATTCTCTTTTGTTTATGCCCATTTTGGAGTCTTTGGTTGTGTACAGACTGGGGAATCATTTTTTTTTCTATGGAAGATATTTTACTTACTCGGAGTAGGTCCCATATCACAGTCCATCGCTAAAGACATTAAAAAAAAAAAAAAAAGAGTGTATGAGGTCAAGACACAATAAACGTATTAAACAAAAATGTTAGTGAACTATTGGTTTCTACATTTATCACACACAAAAGCCACATTAGGCTTTTTGGTGAAGTATGTCAGTTCACTCCTTTCAGCAGTCTGCCCTGCACAGAGCTTCTCTCCAGACATTAAAAATACAGATGCAGTTGTTTTAGAATAAATCCACTGGCTGTGGTCATCCTTATGAAGCAAGATGCCACCCAGTGAAACTGTGCAGTATGTCTCTTTAATGTGGGATAATGACAGTTCTGGAACACAAAGCAATGCAAAAGGCTCTGGTGTTTGAGGGAGCTCTCAATAAATCTGAGCAGTACAAGGATTCTGTTTAGAGACCTGGGCAATTTTCTATGTTGTCTTTGCCCAGGACTGCCATAACAACTGCTACATACTATAGTAGATGTGGTTTGCTCAGTGTTTATCTATATACAGATACATGTTAAAACTCCATTTAGCTTTTATACTTACACATTTTAGCACACCACATCGAAGGCATAGGCATACTACAGGCCATCATCACTTTGAGTTACAAAAGAAAAAAGAGCACGAGGTCAAGACATCAGAATTAGTAAGCAAAAATATCAACCAAGCTAAACTAGTGTCTGTGCTTTTTACAATAAGTCACAAGCTGTTAATAATATTTCAAATATTCACATCTTTCAAAAGTTCAAAATATCTCAAAGATGAAACACATAGACATGTCAACATGTGTCCAGATACTGTAAGCAAAGACAAAATGCTAGCCCTCAAACCTAAATTAAACATGAGTATAACAGTGATACAGTGATTTATAAATGATCAATGATTATCTTAATGTCAAAACAGTTCACCATCATGCTTTCCTACATGCTGCTACATTCCTGGTCAGCTATAGTGTCAAATGGTAACTTTTGATTTTTGATTTTTCTTGTAAACACTCACTTGGTGTTGGAACATTTCTGCGCACCAGAGGTCCCTGAATCGCCTCGCCATCGCCTTTGTTGACAGCAATGAAGGCAGTGAAGACGCTGCTCACTCCTGATTGGACACTGACCTCCACCACTTTCTTCTTCACTCCTTCACCTTGCTCTCCTGTGCACTCTTTCTCCTCCATCTCCAGGGAGCGAATCAGAGTCCGAGCAGCCAACCTGTGGACTGTTAATCTGCAGGCAGGAGAGAGGAGTCAATGTGTCTGCAAACAGATTTGTAATAACCCTATCATTTTTGTCATTCATCCATTGTCTATACAAGTTTATTCTGGTCAGGATCAGCAGGGAGAGAAAACAATAGCACCCAGAGGAAACTCACAGACAGAAACTCTAAAGGCCTGAGCTACACAAAAAGCCTGTCAGCCAGGTGAGTGGTGGACATCCTTTGGGCCCTTTTTTAATCAACGAGGCGCAGCTACAAGCACAGAGTGGTAGTGGCGTCTGCTGTTTTGGTTCATGTAAGTGCAGCAGAGGTGGTGATTATAAAAAACACTTCCAGCCAGTTACATCACTGTCTTCAGATGATTTTAAAGTATTGCACTTATACCAACAGTCTAAATCAACTGAATAAAATCCATCAAGATCAATTCAACAATTCTCCTGTAGTGTTTGTCCTTTGACAGAACAATACATTTAAAGCCATTCTCCACATCACGTGTGTGAGCCTCTGAGCAGACATTTAATGCCACGCATAAGGAAAATATTCTTGAATTAAAATATTAATATTTCTTATTCCTTTCGACTGTTTTATTTCATCTGCTCTTAATAATTAAGTTAAACTTAACACTTGTAAGGTCAGGACCCAATGCATAACATTGCTGCCTGACCAAAAGTCTGTTTTACCCAGTGTCCTCTGCAGGCGTGAGATTGAAGTGGAGCTGGTTCTGAGAGGGATGACCTGCCAGGCTGTACTTCACCGTCACACAGCCCTCTGCTGCCTCTGAACTCTGGGAAAGCATTACAGTATCAGAAAACATGTTTATTACTTAGTACCCGATGGAATAAATAAATAAATAAATAAATTCAACATAAATAAATTTCAAACAAAAAAATAAATTAAAAAAATCAAATTCAGTTTAAAATTATTTTAGCGGCATAAAAATAGATTGATACGTATTTCACTGTGAGATGATGCTGCTCTTACCTGTCCAGTCAGCTGGGCATAAATCAGTGACCTCTGACCCTGGAAAAGTGCTGTGATTGGTGGAGAGAGAGCAGTGACAGAGACTCCCTTTGGCACATCCCAGTTGACTGAGACGTCTACCACAGCTGGTTGCAGAGCAAATCGCAGCGACTGCATCACCTGATGAGTAAAACATAGGTTCAAAAAAGTTTGGCAGAAGCACTGGGTTTTGATAAAATGTATTTACTAACATTTATAATCACTTTAAAAACTATTAAAAAAGTACATAATGACTGTGATTTCCTACTTTAGGCTGCATCCTCTCTTTCCCTGTGATGAACTGAGCGTGACCTCCTCCTTCCTTGGCCAACCCGTTGATAAGAGCAGAGCTGGCCCCTTCCCCAATCCCAAAAGAGAAACACCTACAATACAGGAGTTTTCTTTAAGTACACAGAGCATTATAACATGGGACATATACTCAGAGTTTTGTGGGTGGTTGATGGGTTTTGTGTTTTTGTATTTTCACCTGTGGGAACCTGAATTCTTCTTCACCAGATTGATGACTTGTTTGGTGTTCTCCACCTCTCCGTCAGTAAAGACAAATAGCTGGGGAGGAAAAATGCAGCATGTGCTGAGTCATCAAATCATTCTCTGGGAGCTGTGCTAGATAGCTGATTTCGTAACACAGGCAGTATAAAAAAGTATAAAAAGTATAAAAAACAACAAAGGTGTGGCAAGAGTGAATTGAATAAACCGGTTTGCCCAGGATAGAACTGGGAAAGGTGTGAGTCGAACAGTGGAAGCTACTGAGTGGATCAATCAGGCATTTTAAATGGGCTGTACAGACCATTCTATGCCTGATCTACTTCCGATGATTGATGTGTTTGCTCTGCGTACACAAGCTGTCAAACACTTTGTAAGCTCCATTCAAAGACTGAAATCACAAAGCATGTCCAGAAAATGAACGTGCAGATGAGATGAGGACTTAGTTGTATGCTGTTTTTACTGGTCAAAGGTTCTTGTAAAGTGTGTGTGTGTGTGTGTGTGTGTGTGTTTAGTACTTGTCTAGGTTGATTGGGAATGGTTGGCTGACTGTAAATTTCTTTGAGGGGCTCAAGGATCTCTGTTCCTCCCAGGTCAGCGTCCATCGCTTCAACTTTCTTCAGAGCCTGTTCCATGGTCTCCTCATTGTACTCCACACTTTTACTGCAGAAATGCAAACGGAGGAGGTCAGGTGGTGGATGGATGTGTAGCACTATCAAGTTCTACACCACAATTCAGAAATCACATCCTGTCTCAGACCAACTTTTATAGGTGTAACCATAGTCTCTCCCAAGATTTAAGCACATCTTCGTTGTACTGTAGTTGCCATGCATACTTTTGTTTTGGAATAATTAATTGTAAAATGTTAGGAGTGAAATTTTAAAATCCTGACATTAAACGTAATCCATGATTTTACAGAATCACCCAATATCAATTATCTGTCAGCTGATAAAGCTGATAAGTTACCACATACAAACAGTGGTATCAAAGAATTTAGCACATTTTTTGGACTGGGTGACACAAGGGAGTGACTTACGGGAAGATGCGTTCGTAGGTGGACCCAAAACTGTAGATGTTGAAATAGCAGCCCATTGGTAAGCTCTTCAACAAGAGCAGCAGAGTATCCTTCAGGCAAGGAAAGAACAGATAATGAAGGCTACTGTGTGAGAGAGACACTGAATGATTTTATGATAGAAATGACACAATGAATACCCTGGCACTGCCAATGCGATCCTGACTCTCAGTGTTGTCCATAGGCGATTCCATACTGCCAGATCGATCCAATAAGAGCACAAACTCTCCACGTGAGGCGACTGAAGACATCACAGCCTGGGGGAACTCAGGGTACAGGCTCAGCATCACTACTGGATCACCCATCAGAGTGCCTGAAACACAACATATACACATACTGTACTTACCTCTTATATTTAACACATCACATCAGTTTGTTTTATTTGCAAAGTCACACCTTTCACTAATTTGCACTCACCAGGCTTGGCAGACGCCTGTCCTGCCTCCACCACAGCAGTGGGCTGGTGGGCATCTTTGTAATAAATCAGCAGTTCAACATCTCTGTCAAACTTATGTCCTGCAGCCAACTTGACCTGCAGTTCACAAAACACACTCAGAAATATAATCAAAGTCATATACATCTTGTTCTCAGTACTGAGGAACAATCACACACAGCAGACACATCAGCACTGTACCTACCGTGGCCTGGGTTTGCTCTGTGTTGAGGTACTGGAGAGGATCCAGGGAACAGCTGGACTCTACTTTAGAGACTGGACGAGGAGAGGACAGTCGGGCAGAGAAAGACAGACTGTAGGGCACCAGAGAGGCTGGGACAGAGGTCACCTTGACAATGGCAACTTCACTCCCTTCACTCCCTGTGAACAAGTGAGAAGCGCTGTTATCTGGAGTGCCTTGGTAGCTGAGTGGGTAAAGTTCATGACACATAACTGCAACGTTGAAGATTTGATTCTAGATGGAGGTCTTTGTTGCAGGTCGCTGGGAAACAATCAGTGAGACGGTACATGAAGGAACATATCTAACCTAAATAATAGTTAACAGTAAAACTAAAAACAACATTAAGGGTCTACAGCCATGCTAGCTGATCTGTCGTCAGCATGTCCAGGTACAGCAGTGCTGCTAAATGCTAAATGCTAAAGATAGCAAGTTCACAATGACAATGCTAACATGCTGGTGTTTAGCAGATATACTGTTTACCATTGTAACCATCTTGGAGTTGTGTGTTGGTATGCCACCTTTAACTCATTGGCAACTTACATAAAGTACAGCTAAGGCTGATGGGATGTCGTTGGTTTTGCAGGTATCTGGTCATCAACCAGTAAAATCTGACCTGCTGGTGGCGCTTGAAGTCAGTGAATCAACAAAGATGCTCAGTTTCATATTGTTGGCAACATGGTTATCTGAACCAATCTGTGGACGGCAATCCATCCAATAGTTTTAAAGACATTTCACGAAAAGCCAAAAATGCCAACTTGTTAGTGCCACTAAAGGAATCATCTGAGGGGGACATAAATGTCTGCTGAGATATTTCAGTCGACATCAAACCAACTGAATGAATGAAATTTTATTTCCTTGAGCCATACAGCTAGCAAGGCTATAAATATGAATATTCAGACCCTTATCTCCACTTCAGACAAAGGCCAAAGGATATTTGTATATAAAAAAAACAATAGGAGTCAGTGTGAGCACATCATTTCTACCTCAGCCCTCTTTCAAACTACCAAAGTCAACAAAAATGCATTAAATGTGTGACAGACTTTTTAAAAAGCAGCTCTTGCAGGGCAAGAGCTCTGTAGTCACAAGGTGTGTGACTGTTAGGATAAATGGACAGGTGTGGTGTGCACTAAGCTGAGGCTTAAGTGCCCACTGATGAAGGTGTTGGCTGGTTTTCCTACCCTGAGGTTGGTAGCGAGGGTTGAGCACAGCAGGCAGACAAAACCTCAGCCCATCATCAGCCTGCACAGCCAGCTCAGTGACGTACTCCAGCCTGATGGAGGCACTCTCTCGTGGAGGCAGGCTGCCCACACTCAGAGAGAATATATCTGGACTCTGCTCACTCTCCTCCAACAGGAAGGCCTGCTGACCGGAGCTCAGTGCATCATCATACTCCTCTCGAGCCTGGAGTACAGACAACACATGTGAGCAACATTCTCTGTGTTTTTAAGCTCCATTGTGACTTAGTCTCTACTGTCCAGCTCACCTTCTGTTTCTCCTTCACCTCAGCTACAATCTCTTTTTGTCCAATCTTAGCACTGAAATGACAGACAGCAGCATCTCCAGGCAGAGGGAAGACAAATATTGCCTCTATTGGTTTGTCTTCCTTGTTCTCATAGTTCAGAGTGGAGACCACTGTAGCCACATGGTCCCTCACCTCCACCTCCACCTCTATGCTCTTTAGAGGAACTGACACAGAAAAACAGAAGGACACACAATGAACAAAGACTTTATGAAAACATTTTATTTATGCTTTTATCCTTCCCCTTTAGCATAAATGTGTCCACTGTATATTCAGTTTTAAATATTTGTATAAAAGCCCCTTGCTGGCACTGTGAGGCCTAAATGCACACTGTTGCAGGGACAAATATCAGCACACACCCACAATCATATTTTGCACATGTACAGTAAGTGCCAAGGAAACTGTAAAAATACACACAAGAGAATACAGAAGCAGTGTTCCTCCAGTATTGTTCAAAGCTGTTTTTAGTTACTACAAGCCAGTGTGGTTGAACAGTCAATATAAGGAGAAGTGTGCAGGACAGTCCTCTGTGAGATTTTGTGGTTATAAAGAAAAGTCTCTGTACCTGGTTCCTTACTGGCTGTGAGCAGACCACAGCAGTTCACCATCATGCTTGTTCAACAGGTTTCACTGCTGAGGAAGTTGGTGCTGTAGAAAGGAGGGTAAAGGTAAAATCAAACTTTCTAAAAAGGAACAGCAAAGCAACCATTGTACTTATTACACATACATTTAGACTTATCAGAGACTGTCTCCCATTTCATGCTGCAAACAGTTTCATGCATGTCATGTTTCTTCACATTTAAGTTACTGTGAAACCTCTTGGTCACAAGCAGCATCTACAATAACTAAGCCTCTGATGATGATATACAATCGAGCAATTAAACCTTGGACAGGAAACTGATAAGAGCACATCACTGGCATGTTCTTCAGAGGCGAAGGTTTGATCATTTCATTCATTTTGCTCATTTCAAACTCATCCATAAATGCCTACATAATCAGGCTCCTCAGGTGCTCGATGACCTTGTGGTTCCACTTAGAGCTTCTGGCTCAGCCAATGGGAGGTCTAAATCCTCATTTGGTGAAACAGCTTTTTCTGTCCGTGAAATTTACATGTGGAATTCTTTACCTACAGAAACTGGATCCTGATTTTGATCACTTCAAACTCAAACTCAAACAGATTTTGAAGAGGAATCAGTTATGCAGCCATCACTAATTTGGTGCTCCCTATTCTATGGTGCTAATTATGTATTGCAGTTTGTGTCTTGTATTTTTCTGTTCATATCTTTATTGTTGTTTGTCCCTTGCACTGTTACTTGTGTTATTGCTGCTGAGTCTTTTATATCTTAAGGCCCAGCTAGGGACGGGTATTGCAAATTAGCTGCTGTGGTGTGTGGCATTTATGTATGCTACATACTTGCCCCTATACAAATAAGCATTACATAAATGATATATAAATAAGTCTAATATGATTGTTCTCATATGAGTTATGCTTTCTAAGTTAGCCAGGCAGTGACACAGTGTGGTATGGGTGAGCTCAGTAGATGAGGAAGGCTATAAATATGAGTATTCAGACAGACAGACAGACAGAGCCCAATGCACATTTGTATGAATTCACTGGGTGTGAGTAAAAAAATGAAAATGAAAACTTGCATATCATATGAGGTTTTCGGGGAGAGGTCTTGTCTGTTCCAAAGGCTAGGCTGAAATCTAAAGGGGACAGAAGTCCCTTCTTAACACATACTTTTCTTGCAGAGCCTTTCCTGATTTTACTTGAGTTTTATGTTAGTTTAAACTGTCTTTTATTTCCTCAGTGTTTATACAGTAAAGTGTATTTATCAGTTCTTTAAAAAGTTGTTGTTTTCATGTCTTGTCTGTTTTAATTATTGACATGTTAAACACTTTGTAACTGTTTGGAAAAGCACTGTGTAAATAAATATCATTATAAATGTTCATGATAGCCTACCTAACAACCTGAAGGGACCTGAAGTAGGGATTTATGGATAGGGGGTGGGATTAAACAAGTATGTACTTCTTCCCACTCCTTTTCGGAAATGTAAACCGAATTGCGAAATTGTCTTGAGAATCTTTTGTTTGCTTTTTTTCTTATGACATTTCTGTTTACATGTTCGAAATAAATAATAATCTAATCTAATCTAAGGATCTGCATTGTTTACATTGTTTTTAACTTGGGGGTGTGTCTGTTTTAACTCCAGCTAGAAATTGCTGTGAGGGGAGAGTCTGCATGAAACTAAAAGACAGCGGGTGTGAATGGTGGACGACAAGAGGGCCAGAAAAGAAACTCTATAGAGTCTTTAAAAATCAGCACACTGTTCACCTGGTGTATTCCGTAACACACTTAACACTTAGTTTAACATAAGCCTACACTGTAACAGACATTCTGACCTTTATACTAGTCTACTTTATATATTCAACTTATATTACAGTCATGAAAATAACATATCAGGTGCCTACCTGTAAGAAGTGCCCTCTGCGCAGGAAGCCTCTGGAGAGGAATAATACACAAGGCTTCTGGTTGGGGATACGCAGTCAAACCTAAACCACGCCCACAAGTTACGGGTTAGGTTTTCCCGTCACTTGCCCGGCCTGTTGCCTGTCACCTGTCCCACCCACTAACTGCTTACCACGGAATGCTGCTCAGCATGAGTCAGGCACACAGCTGTAGATGGCGTCATCAGATTTTTCACATTCAACGAGGAAACAAATACAAAGAAACGGGTCAATTTGTCGTTTTTTCGGGTTTTGTAGGCTTTAAAAAAGCAAAATGACTGCGCCTTTTGTTGTTTTCGTCTTGAAATGTCCACTCCCATCAAAAATGAAACCGCAAGCAAAGTTGCTCAGTGACTGGCAGTGTCTCCGCTGTGCGCATGCGCAGTCTCATCTGCAGCCTGCACCTATCCTCGCGTGAGCAAGATTTAAAGAAAAAAGTTTATACAGCATATTTTAAATAAAGTGCAAAGTTGATATCAGACTGTTATCCCTGTGCACTGCACATATTCTCAATGCTGTGAACTTTGGTCCATCACTTGATCAGTATTTTTGCAGATCCTGCACAGAAATGTTCAGCTCTTTCACTCCAAGAGTCACTGTACACATTTATTAAAGCATTTTTATAGTATCTTTTTCATATTTTTGTTTTGTTTTTGTTGTTTTCTCGGAATTATAATGATAATTATAAACTTTATTTTTATATCACCTTTCAAAAACACAAGAATAAAACAAATAACGTCATAAAATATCATCTAGTAAAAGATAAAATAAGGAAGGCCAAGTTAAAATCAAGACAATAAAAGGTCATTAAAATTAGTAAGATCTTATTTTAGAAATGTGTCTGAGGTGATAAAAGCATGATTGGACATGTTTAGTAAGATGTTCAAAACATAAATTTACCCTTAAAGACAGGGTTCTTGTAAAGATAAAAGTTATTCACAAAACATCTTAGACCTTAAAAGAGTTCCTCAGGTGAAAAACTGTTAGGAGCAAGGAGGAGGACTTTAAAGAGGCTTTAGAGTTTCTTATCAGAGGAGAAAATGGTTGAAACACTAAGAGGTCAGAGAAATATTCTCCAAACACTGGAATGAAATGCCACAGATTAGACTGTGCAGGGATGATATTTGTGGTCGATCTCATCAGGGGTACACACACATTCTCTACCTAATGCTATAATGCCAGAGATAAAATAATCACAACACTAAGATATTTGGAAAACTGGAAAAATGCAGCATATGTATTCATGCTTGCAGGTATACACCAATCAGCCAAAACATTAAAACCACTGACACTGACTGTTCCAGTGCATTGTCCAGCTGGGAAACCTTTGGTTCTGGCATTCATGTGGATACCACCTGACATGTTCCACCCACTCATACACCGTTGGCAGGATAATGCACCATGTCACACTGCAAACATGGCTCAGGAATGGCCCAAGGCATGTGACAAAGACCTCAAAGTGTCAGCCTGGCCTCCAAATTTCCCAGATCCCAATGTGAATGAGCATCTGTGGCACATCCCATTAACCCACCTCACAACCCACTGGACTAAATGGTTCTGCCACCAACGCCCCGGTGCCAGACACCGCAGGACACTCCCAGAGATCCTGTGTCCATGCCTCAACAGGTCAGAGCCAAGTCTGATCCAAGGAGGCCCCACATTGGATTAGGGGTACATCTGGGGTACCGGCACATCACAAGAATCCTTGAGCAGATTGGGACCTGGGAAATCTGAAGGCCAGGTCGACACCTTGAGCTTTTTGTCACGCTCCACAGGCCATTTCTAAACAGTTTTTGTAGAGTGGCACACTGCTTTTTTTCTGCTGGGGGGGCCACTGCCATTGGGGAGTACTGTTGCCATGAGGGGGGGGGGTACTTGGTCTACCACAGTGTTTTAGTGAGTGGAACATGTCAGGTGGTATCCACATGAATGCCAGAACCAAAGTTTTCCCAGCAGAGCATAGCATTGGAACAAAATAATCAAAGTATTCACTTCACCTGTCAGTGGTTTTAATGTTTTGGCTGATCGTAGGACATATGTATATGCTTATGTTTTATTAGTACCACTTTTGTTTTGTATTTTCTTCTTCTTGGAAGGCAGTTTGTGCTTTCATCTTGAAAAGTGCTCTTAAAATAAAGTTCTTATTATTGTTATTATTATTATTATACAATGAAAGCAAATCTGATTAATAAGTAAGAATATGTCTTGTACATAATTTATACATGGTTGATGTGGTGAAACTGGGTCACCTACTGTCTGCAGGAAAACTAGTCTGAGAAACTGTCAACACGGAAACCAACAGGTTACCACAGGTGAACAGGAAATATGTGCTAACCTCATCTGCAGCGAGCTTCCAGTGAACTGGGAGGTTTAACAGTGTAGTTCCTGGACTGGATTTTCTTTTACACCCACACTCATGGAGTTACATGCATTGCACCCTGTCTAACTGTTTTCATGTATCTTTATGTGGTGCTGTGATTCTGCGCGGTCAAGCCTCCCACTGATTTACTTTCACTTTCTGAATCACTCATTCGATGAATACAAAAACCTGACAGACTTTCTGTGGTTTGCAAAGGTGTCACAATGAAACAGCAGTTGCTGCATCAAACTTTCTTCTTGTCTTTTTGTTTGTTTTTTAAGTGTTATTGTGCAGCTGAAGACCAAAGTTCAACAGTACCACAATCATTCACCTCTTCTTCTTTTACAACATTCAATCCAACAAACTGAAGTTCAACACTGTCCCTAGCGTTGGCTAGTAACTGATGTCCTTCTTAGCATTGCTATTAGACATGTGGGTAACCAAGGAGAGAGGAAAAGGTTGTAGTGTTTGCAGTTGTGAAAAGCAGTGTTTTTTTTTGTTTTTTTTTTTGTTTTGTAAGGAGAAGAGAGAGTGATGGGTGGAGGGCCGGGGGGTTGGGGAAGGCCTAAGCTGAACACCCCGGCTGGTAATATATGCGGCCCTATTGTGGTCAATCAATGCACCGTGCAATAATGGAGGGTAAGGAGGGGCACAAGGCTGTAGGGGAGCCATGACGAGATGTCTTCTGCCTCATGGTGTGCCCCCCACGCTAAGAAACGCACTCAGCACCAACCAGACTCTTATCCGAGTTAAACAAAGTGCTTGTTCCATTCATATCTTGGATGTTATTTTTCTTACTGAGGAGCTGGCCAGAGACAAGAGCCCAAGGACAGACAAATGTGAAGACTCAATAATTGTGTTGCGCAGACAGGAATGCTGTGAGGCTATGCACAGTTTCCTCTGCTGACAGGTTGTGGTGAAGGTCTACATTGTCATATGAACATACATGTGTGTCACTCATCCACACACACAGGACTGTAACGTCTCTGTTTTACGCTGTGGTGTGTGAACACAAGTCTACCGAGATGAACTGAGGTGAGTACATGTTTTTTTTTTAATTTGAGCAGAAAGTACAACTTTAGACAAAAGTTTGTAGTTGTCTGGTAATACAGCATGAACTTATTTTGCACTTGGTGAAAATATAGTTTGCATATTCTCACAGTAGTTGACATTAGTGCACTGTGCTGGGAGGAAGTTTGGTTCTAGTCAATATACTGTACATGCCTTAGTTTGTTAAAAGCAAACAAAGCACAAGATTATGAAAAGTTATTTAAAGTGAACCACAAGTTATATATGTTAATTAGATATGTTAAAAAGAATAAAATGTTATGATCAGTGTATGAGTTTTTCATACTGCATCACTCCTGCAGGATGAGTGAAAGGAGGAGTCTTTGTGCTCTCAATTTAAGAGACCACGCCAATCAGTTAAAACCTATTTGCCAGCCAAAGGAGGCTGGCAGAGTAGAGGGAGCAGTTGTTTATAGGCCCCGTGCTTTGTTTCGGCCTCCCTCTTGTGAAAGCACAGACTATGAGAACAAAAAGTATTGTATTTGAATAAAGATGACAAAGAACAATAGGAGCCTTTGTACAGGCAAGGCTGAAAAAGAGGTGGGGTTTTTTGTCGGGGGGGTTGAGGAGTGGACGGTGACAGTAAAGGACAAACGGATGATTAGCACAAACAGATCAAATTTGCACAAAGCATGACTCAAGAACTGTGGTTAGGCCATTTCATATTCATCCGTTTAGGAAGCGGAAAATGCTTTTCACAATATAAAATCTGGATTTATTAATGAGTTCATTCAGTAATGATTGTTCAGTTCAGCTAAATGTCTTTTAATGTTTGAATTAACATTTTCAACATGTCTTACAGGCAACAACTATAGCTTTATAACTAAATTAAGCATTCACAAACAACTTGAGGGGATAGTTCAGACTTTTAGAAGTGGGGTTGTATGAAGTACGTGTGTGTGTGTATGTGTGTGAACACTCTTGGGTCGTATTTTCTGGGTATCCAAAGTTCTCCTGGTTTCCTACTTATTCCTAGAGCTGGATTTCGTGTGTCAATATTTTCTATCTTCTTTGTCTCTCTAGCAAAAACAACCGCTTCTATTACGAAACTTGGCACATCCGTCCAAACGGTCAGGTCACCCTAACCCAGAACGTTCTCCCTCATTTAACCTCCCAAGGCTTGACTTACGCACAAACTACTTAAATGATCAAAACACCTCTTATGGATCCTTTTTGCTGCCAAATCTGATATTTGACTACCTGCTTCCTAAACCTTGTGTACCTGACCTTATTTTTCACCTTTAGTATAAAATGATACATTATCTGCCTCTACAATTTTCAATAGCAAAATAAAATCGCTCTCTCTAAATCCATAACTGAAAGGCATAGAAATGGAAGCCATATATGTCTTGTCATACAGTACCACAAAATAAAACAAGGATGGAACACAGTGAAAACAGAAAAACATTTACAATCACAGAGCACCTTAAAACATAATATCAAATTACATCACATAGTAAACTGATCTTGAAACACAAATAGAACATTAGGTTATGAAAGGGTATCAGGTGAGAACCATCATAAATCATAGATCCCAAATTTGTTAAAAAGAAAAAGAATATTGAGAAACATCTTGGATTACAGCATAACAGTTGTATCAAAATCCTCATTAAGGTCTGTAAGCTGAAGGGCCTCTAAAGTGTCAGTCCAGAAAAGCTTAAACTGTCCCTTTAAGGTGAAATTAGATTAACGTTTCTCTTGTCAGCACTTTTCAATATGCACAAATAATTATGGGGTAATGGGACAAGTTCTGTTTATGATGATGAACCCACAGATTATCATCACCTGACTCTTTTGTTACTTATCTAACAACTGGTGAACCAGTTGAGAGTGGACTCAAATGCAAGACACTGGTGGAGACAGTTCAGGTAAAATAACACCGTCTTTACTGGTCAAAAGCTAGGTTCAGTACACAGATGGACTAACAGTGGAGGCA